TTGAAGTTCTGTTTATACAATCCTTATTTTTTTTTTTTTTTGAATAGAATCATTAAGTAGAATCAGATTATAATACAACGAAAAATTTTTTCAATTCAAAAGAATGTCAAAAGAATGGAACGAAAAAGAAATCAATAAAATAAGGTAAAAAAATAAGGTGGGTAAAAAAACTTATTCTTATTAGATAACATGGATTCTGATATCTAATAAGTTCTACCTACTATTGGATTTGAACCAATGACTCCCGCCGTATGAAAGCAATACTCTAACCACTGAGTTAAGTAGGTCATTTATCATCACAAAGAGAAAGAAATGGAATCCATCACATCGATGGATTATAAATGGAATATTATTTATAAGCAATACGGATCAAAGAGATCAAACAAATAGGATGTTGGATCATATAATATTCATCTTGACAAGAAATTATTGACATGATAAAATATGTATCACAAACACAAGGGCTATAGCTCAGTTAGGTAGAGCACCTCGTTTACACGCGCGCCACTGTTTTTTTCAAAGAAGTCCATCATGTAATCAAAAGACTTATTGAGAAGTCGATGTCTTACTCCATGATTTTTAGGGAACAAAAGAACAATAGCCTGACACAAAGGGTTCGGTCCAATTTAGGTGCCTTTTTAGACGCCGAACAGAACTCATCATTGATTTAAGGCCTTGATAGGGTGAATACCCAGTTTATTCAATGCTAGGCATAATGAGTATAAGGACCTCAAAAAATTCTCTTTTCGTCCTATCCTATGAACTTTAAGGTGTATGAAGTTTCATATTTGATTCTTTAAGCAGAAGCGGGGCGGTGGAGATTCCATTTAACTTAGGTTAATTTAAGCCAAAAGCAGACCTACGTCAGGATAACCTTTCTTTGAAACACTTTGGTAGTGCTCTCGGATCGGAATCCATAAATCAGAGCACATGGAGCCATCTTCTTATCTTTCTGCCAAGAGAATTATGGTAGACTAACTGATTATTTATATCAGTTAATGAACGAGCCCAATGCAAAAAAATGCATGTTGGGTCTTTGAAAAAGTTCGAATCATTTTGATAATAATCAGTTTGATCTGTTTTACCGAGAAGGTCTACGGTTCGAGTCCGTATAGCCCTAAAAAAAAATAGAATTAAATATAGAATTCTATATATATATTAATATATATTAATATTTAATTTAAAATATTTAATTTAATATTTCATTTTAATATATATTTTATATTTATATTTTCATTTATATTTTATATTAATTTTATATTAATTATATATTTTTATATTAATTTTATATAAAATTAATTATATATATATATATAAATAATTAATAAATAATTAATATATAAATAAGAATTATATATAAATAAGAATTATATATAAATAAGAATATAATTATATATAAATAATAATTATAATTAATATATAATTAAATATAATTAAAATAATTATAATAAAATAATAGAGAATAAATAGAATTATATAGAATATATAAATAGGAAATAGAATATTTATGTTAAAATATTTATGTTAAATATGTAATGTAAATAAATAAAAAATATAGAAATAAATAAAAATTCAATTTCTTTCAATTTTAAATATTCCATTTTGATTCCATTTTGATTTTGAATTTCTGTTTTTTTTTTATTTTCTAATAAAATGAAAATTTCTAATAGAATTTGAAAATAGAATTTCAAAATTCTAAACAACTAAACAAAAAATGAAAATTTTCTATTTTGAATTCCCCCTTTTGTAGAAAGAATCCGAAGTGAAGGTGAAATGAAAAAGCGAAAGGAGAGTCTTATTTCTATAAATATAGAAATAATATAAATAAGAGCAATATCTATTTATACTCTATCAATAGTATATATCAATATTATATCAATATCGAAAAAAAATTTGAAAATCGAAGTAAACGTAATGGAAAAATTATAGTCGATGAATCTTGAAACGAGACATGTACCAAAGCAAACAAAGAAAACTAGGTGGTTGAATCAAAATAAATTGTTGTTTTGACTAACCCGTTATGGATGAGTTAGGAATTAATTCCAATTCGACTCGACTAATCTAGTATATTTTCCACATTCATAGGAGCGCACCTATGTTTCTGATTTACGAATATGATATATTCTGGGCATTTCTAATAATATCAAGTGCTATTCCTATTTTAGCATTTCTAATTTCCGGAGTTTTATCCCCGATTAGCAAAGGGCCGGAGAAACTTTCTAGTTATGAATCGGGTATAGAACCAATGGGCGATGCTTGGTTACAATTTCGAATCCGTTACTATATGTTTGCTCTAGTTTTTGTTGTTTTTGATGTTGAAACCGTTTTTCTTTATCCATGGGCAATGAGTTTCGATATATTGGGGTTATCCGCATTTATAGAAGCTTTAATTTTCGTACTTATCCTAATTGTTGGTTTAGTTTATGCGTGGAGAAAAGGAGCGTTAGAATGGTCTTAGTTCTTGAATATTCCCCAAAAAACAATGAAAAAAAAAATAACATTGAGACAATTATGAATTCCATTGAGTTTCCTTTACTTGATCAAACAACTAAAATTTCAGTTATTTCAACTACATCAAATGATCTTTCAAATTGGTCAAGACTCTCCAGTTTATGGCCACTTCTCTATGGTACCAGTTGTTGCTTCATTGAATTTGCTTCGTTAATAGGCTCACGATTCGACTTTGATCGTTATGGACTAGTACCAAGATCTAGTCCTAGACAAGCGGACCTGATTTTAACAGCCGGCACAGTAACCATGAAAATGGCTCCCTCTTTAGTGAGATTATATGAACAAATGCCAGAACCAAAATATGTTATTGCTATGGGGGCATGTACAATTACAGGGGGGATGTTCAGTACCGATTCTTATAGTACTGTTCGGGGAGTCGATAAGCTAATTCCTGTAGATGTCTATTTGCCAGGCTGTCCACCTAAACCGGAGGCGGTTATAGATGCTATAACAAAACTTCGTAAAAAAATATCTCGAGAAATTTATGAAGATCGAATTAGGTCTCAACCGGGGAATCGGTGTTTTACTACCAATCACAAGTTTAATATTGAACGCACTACTCATACTGGAAATTATGATCGAGGATTACTCTATCAACCGCCGTCTACTTCAAAGATCCCTCCTGAAACATTTTTCAAATATAAAAGGTCAGTATCGTCCCACGAATTAGTAAATTAGAGGAAAGATTCGTTTGTACAAAATAACAAAAGGCAAGTCAATCTTCATAAATTTCATCGTAAATGTGAAATACTTATATTTGAAATACTTATATTATACAAATAAAAATGCGGGAGAGAGAAACAAAGATGCAGGGTCGTTTGTCTGCTTGGCTAGTCAAACATGGGCTAGTTCATAGATCTTTGGGTTTTGATTACCAAGGAATAGAGACTTTACAAATAAAGCCCGAAGATTGGCATTCCATTGCTGTCATTTTATATGTATATGGTTACAATTATCTGCGTTCGCAATGTGCCTATGATGTAGCACCGGGCGGGCTGTTAGCTAGTGTATATCATCTTACGAGAATAGAGTATGGTATAGATCAACCAGAAGAAGTATGTATAAAAGTATTTGCCCCAAGGAAGAATCCTAGAATTCCGTCTGTTTTCTGGGTTTGGAAAAGTGCGGATTTTCAAGAAAGGGAATCTTATGATATGCTGGGAATCTTTTATGATAATCATCCGCGTCTGAAACGTATCTTAATGCCGGAAAGTTGGGTAGGGTGGCCCTTACGTAAAGATTATATTGCTCCCAATTTTTATGAAATACAAGACGCTCATTGAATAATTAGAAACTAATCTTCAGTGTTACAACTCCAGCTATTCAAGGAATATTTGTACACTCTCTTATAGATCAACAGAATCATTGAAGTCTCATTCATATTATTATGGGATAGACTAAAAAAAAATAATAATAATACAAATAATGATAATACAATTAGGGATTCGTTGAATTCTCCAATTTTAATTTTGAAGATATTTATTTCGGACGAGTCGAGCTAATAGGATGAACTAAACGAATTCTGCATTATGCACTTTGTACCGCGCACATCCCTTAGATCCCTTAGATGAGCTATATAAAGTCACATAACATAGGAGGGAATGAAGAAATAGAATATGAAAGAAAATAAATACAAAGAAATGAAAGAGGATCGGATTCTATTTATACTGTATCTGAGATGAAACTTGGATATTTCCACCCTTCAACTTCTATAGACTAGATTTTTAGGTCTTTAACTAACTAATTTCACTTTACTTTAACCTTTCGAATCTATATGAAGTACTAACATTATTTTCTTTTTGAACGAGAGGAGACACATTATGAACAAATCAAATAAAAAAGAGGAGGAAACATAATCTAATTTTTTTTACATACTTTTTTTTTTATTTTATAACATAAACTCTTTACTCATCTAACATCTAAAAAAAAAAAAGGCTATATCTACTATATCTCCAGACATTTATATGGATAAGTTAAGTATATATCACGATCTATACTATACATGAATATGTATGCTGGTCTATATCAGATCTATATCAATTAATTTAATCTATATCAATTAATTTAATTAAGTAATTCAATTTTAATTAAGTAATTAAATTAAAGATACTCATACACAAATTTATCATGTGTCAGGAACCAGACTTGAACTGGTGACACGAGGATTTTCAGTCCTCTGCTCTACCTGCTGAGCTATCCCGACCATTTTCGACGTGACGTCTTCCTCATTTTACTAAACGACTTGGGTCTATGTCAATTTTAAAAAAGATGAAAAAGTATTCTAAAGTCTTATCCAGACCTGGAATGCTTTGTATCTTAAAAAAAAAAAGATAAAAAAAGAAAGAAGAAAAAGATGACTTCGTAAATTTCAGTTCGAATAATGATTTGGATTGTTAATCATTCCAATTTCCAACGGGGATTCCTTGTTTTGCTCAAAGATGTTTATTTGTATGTGTATCATATCTATCACAAGACTTGTGAAAAAAAATTCAGTCTGGATATGTTTGTGAAAGAATCGAATGAATGAGAAAGATAACGAAAATGGAACCGTTAATGAAAAGAGAGAATAGGATAAAAATAATTAGGGAGTCGAACGGGCCTTTTTTGGGGATAGAGGGACTTGAACCCTCACGATTTTTAAAGTCGACGGATTTTCCTCTTACTATAAATTTCCTTGTTGTCGATATTGACATGTAGAATGGGACTCTATCTTTATTCTCGTCCGATTAATCAGTTATCTATCAGACTATGGAGCGAATGATTTGATCAATTAAAATTCAATCCTTTCTTCAACTTGGAATCAATTCAAAACAATTTTTTTATTTCATTTTTCATATAAATATAAAGATAAAAATTTCATATAAATATAAAGATAAAAAAAAAATATGGATTCGGCCCCTATTAATCATTTTAATCATTTGAGATAGTATTTCAATACGTATACATATGAATATAGGGTTATCCTTTACTTTATCCTTTCTGGAGTTTTAACGGAAGGATTCCTTTCCTTTACTTTACTAATGCAACGCAGCCAACTCCATTTGTTAGAACAGCTTCCATTGAGTCTCTGCACCTATCCTTTTTTTTTATTCTGTCTTTTTGAACCTTTGTTTGTTTTCGGAAAACAGGATTTGGCTCAGGATTGCCCATTTTTAATTCCAGGGTTTCTCTGAATTTGAAAGTTATCACTTAGTAAGTTTCCATACCAAGGCTCAATCCAATTAAGTCCGTAGCGTCTACCAATTTCGCCATATCCCCTTTTTGTTTTGAGATTAAGATCTTATTACTATACCATTCTCATTTATATTCTACTGGAACTGTTGAAGTCATCAGATACCGATTCCTATAAAAAGTGTTTTCTCTTTTTTTTTTCGTGGCTATCTTCTTTCATCTCTATCAGAGCCCCCTATTTAGTTAGTCTAATCAGAAAGGATTCTATCATTTCTATATTCGCAATTCAATATAGATGTATATATACCACATTTATTATATATACTTCTCTTACTCTCATTTTTTCTCATGCAATTTTGAATACTCGAACGATCGATTCTTTTTCTTTTTTTTTTTCATATTCATATTAATTATGAAATTCTTAATAACTAAGAATGAAAATAACTAAACTAAGAATGAAAATAACTAACAATGAAAAGAATAAAAAGCTAATAGCCAAGATTCCATTAGTTTACTAAATTCCTATACATGTACAATTTCTGTTATGTGAGCCCGCTTAGCTCAGAGGTTAGAGCATCGCATTTGTAATGCGATGGTCATCGGTTCGACTCCGATAGCTGGCTTTTCTCTATTTGTTTTTACACGATTGATAATGTTTTTTTTTGAAATCAAAGAATATTGAAAAGGCTTCTTTCCCTTTTTCCAAGGGTGACCGATTATTATGTGGTAGGAACTTCCAATTATGAATAAAAGTTAGAGTAGTTAAATCTCTGCAGAAAAAGAAAAAAAATCAAGAACACGAAAAGGACCTTTTTTATATATACATTATTGGTATATATACAATAAGGTCCGGATATTGATAACAACCCATCTCATTATTTTTTTGTAATATACTACTTCAGTAGATTTTGCTTCATTTATCATATTTATCCTTTAGTTCAGTTCAGTTTTAATTTAGGTTTCTGAAAATGAAAATTCAATAAAATAAGGAAAACAAGATAAGGAAAACAAGGAGTTTTTATGTCACGTTACCGAGGGCCTCGTTTCAAAAAAATACGCCGTCTCGGGGCTTTACCGGGACTAACTAGTAAAAGGCCTAGAGCCGGGAGCGATCTTAGAAATCAATCACGCTCCGGTAAAAAATCTCAATATCGTATTCGTTTAGAAGAAAAGCAAAAATTACGTTTTCATTATGGTCTTACAGAACGACAATTGCTTAAATACGTTCGTATCGCCGCAAAAGCCAAAGGGTCAACGGGTCAGGTTTTACTACAATTACTTGAAATGCGGTTGGATAACATCCTTTTTCGATTGGGTATAGCGTCAACTATTCCTCGAGCCCGCCAATTAGTTAATCATAGACATATTTTAGTTAATGGCCGTATAGTAGATATACCAAGTTATCGCTGCAAACCCCGAGATGTTATTACAGTGAGGGATGAACAAAAATCTAGAGCTATGATTCCAAATTATCTTGATTCATCCCCCCAAGAGGAATTGCCAAAACATTTGACTCTTCACCCAATCCAATATAAAGGATTGGTCAATCAAATAATAGATAGTAAATGGGGTGGCTTAAAAATAAATGAATTGCTAGTGGTAGAATATTATTCTCGTCAGACTTAAACCTAACTAAAATAACAAGGGTTCGGATAATTTTGCCCCCTGTCGCCTAAGTAAAGAAACAAAAAATAAGGGTTTGATCGGGGGATTTTTTTCCATTCATATATCATAGAGCGATAGGGATATTTTCATTCCTTTCCACTTTTTCCAGTATTTTCTTTACCGCAGAAATTAGGAATAGAAAATCTATATCAAGGAAAGATCTAACTGTTGGAATAAAGGTATCCATTGTTATGTGATTTGATACATTGCGATCAGTAACATTGATAAATTAAGTAAAGGTACGGAAAGAGAGGGATTCGAACCCTCGGTAAACAAAAGCCTACATAGCAGTTCCAATGCTACGCCTTGAACCACTCGGCCATCTCTCCTACATAATGATTATGGCCCAGAAACCGAGTGAATCGCGAGTCATTCATATTAAAATTAGATTGTTGGATAGCTATGGTACGTACAATTAATTCTAACTAAAAAAATAGAAAATTTTTATTTTAATCAAATAAAGAATTTTTCTTCGAAATTGGGGGATAAAGATAATTTTTTTTTATGAATTGAGTCTGTTTTTATGTTATTTTGTACTGTACAACTACTTTTTTGTGGGATCATTTTCTCATAAGAGGTAAAATTCTAAAATGGATTGCTACCTATGCCTAGATCCCGGACAACTGGAAATTTTATTGATAAGACCTTTTCAATTGTAGCCAATATCTTATTACGAATAATTCCAACAACTTCGGGAGAAAAAGAGGCATTTACTTATTACAGAGATGGTGTGATTTGATTTTTTTTTATTTACCACCTCAAGTCTTAGGAGAAAGACACATTAGTCGGGATAGAAAGATTTGAAATAACTCTACGCTTGTTGAAGGTGAAGTTTATCGGTTTATAAATAAAAAATCCCTTCTGTCGGGTATCCTCGATTAATGCAGCCTCAGATGCTTCAATTGTCAATTCTAGCATTGAACGAAAGGTTACACCTATGGCTACGGGTTCTGTATTGCAGGTTAACCCTACCCTACTAGTACCAATAGGCGACATAGAGGAAGAAGCACTACGCCTAGGAATCAACAACACGAAAACTTTGTTAGAAATTATCCCTTTTCTTTATTTGGATCGGGACTAAGAAGAATGGTTGGGACAACAAGCATCCATCTCGTTTGTACTTTGGATACCCGTATAACCATCGAAGATCGTTGAAGTGACTAATTCCTAGAAATTAAAGAAGATTGAGGACAAAGAAATTGTTGAAGTTAACTTAATATTTTTATCTAGTATCAACATGCTTGATGTTAAGAAAAAATCTTTTGCAGGAGGGTTGGCTAGAGATTTCTTGTAAAAACACTAGCCCCGCTCAGTTCATTATGTATTATTCTCATTATGCACATAAGGGAGGAGCCGTATGAGATGAAAATCTCACGTACGGTTCTGGAACGGAGATTCTTTGAATCGAATGACGACCGTAACGAATGTCTGCTCAATCCGAAGGAAATTATGCAGAAGCTTTACAGAATTATTATGAAGCTTTGCGGCTAGAAATTGATCCCTATGATCGAAGTTATATACTCTATAATATAGGCCTTATTCACACAAGTAATGGAGAACACACAAAAGCTTTGGAATATTATTTTCGGGCACTAGAACGAAACCCCTTCTTACCACAAGCTTTAAATAATATGGCCGTGATCTGTCATTACGTGCGACTATCTCCACTATAGAAAGAAAAAAGAAAAAAAAAAGAAAAATTGAATAGGCTTTCTACATATGCATCGTCCAAAACAACGATTTTTATCAGCTGTAGTAAAGAAAGCAACTTCATAGAAGTCAAAATATGAAGAAAAAAATGTCTAGATACTTTATTCTATGGATAAAGGATCTAATTGATAGAGGAAGCATCGTAAAGATCAATTAGCGAGATTTTTGGCCGATACAATAAGAACTGCTTACTTATGTCATAATATGAGACAAAAGTTAGGAATCAACTTATGTAACAGAGTTGATCTCCTAAAGTATTGAGCAGCGGTGTAGCATCAGATCCCAAAGAGAGTAAGTCTTTCTTTTGAGGGAAGGTCTTTTTCAAAGATTCTATATATATTTATATATAAAAATAGAAAAATAAAAATAGAAAACCGGGATAGTTACCTTTCAGAAAATTCTAACGATAGTAGAACGCATACGCTTTATTCTTCTGAAGGTGGGAGAAAAGATAAAACTGATTATTAATCAAAATTCAAGTTTGAAACTCATCTAATTAACCTTTTTTGGTTAACTCGAGAAAAAATAAAAAACGGGACACCAAAAGAATTGACTGCTGAGCCGTATGAGGTAGGAAACTCTCAAGTACGGTTCTAATGGAAGGAATTTGCTCGCCTATTCTGACCGAGGAGAACAGGCCATTCGGCAGGGAGATTCTGAAATTGCGGAAGCTTGGTTCGATCAAGCCGCGGAGTATTGGAAACAAGCTATAGCGCTTACTCCCGGAAATTATATTGAAGCGCAGAATTGGTTGAAGATCACAAGGCGTTTCGAATAAGAGAAGAGCGCTCTCTTTGTATTTATTATTTGTATTTATTTATTATTTAGTATAATTTATTTAATTTATTATTTAGTAGTATAATTTATTTATTTAGTAGTATAATTTATTATTTAGTATATTATTTAGTATTTTCTTTTTTTACTATTTTTTTACTATTTTTTT